CTCGACATCATTTTCTACAGCATCTGTAACAATATTGTGTGGTGTAAGTAATGTATAGAATTTATTGATTAAAGTGAGTGTTATTGTATAATTTACAAGAGCACCTAAAATGTATTCTCTAGTTACATCCATAGTAATATTTTTGGTAGTTATCGAAAAAATATTTCTTGTGAATCTAAACATAAATCACACTTGTTCACTTTAAATTTAAGATTTTATGTATAATATTCACTTTAAATTTGAGACTTTAGGTAAAATATTTTAATAATATAAGTTAGTCCAGGCATTCAGTTTTGATATTTATTCATAAGAAACACTTTCAAGGACGAAACACATACTTATCAAGATATAACCTCAAATTCGAAACCACATTCTCTTCAGCACTAGTGTTTTATTCAAGAAACAGTTTTCCTTACCTATTTAAAAATTAAATTAGGAAATATTTATGTAAGTGTATGTTTAAAAAACAAGCAGAACGTGGTATTGAATAAATTAAATCAATGAAAATACTTCTTACCTGTAACCAAGGAGATGAAGCCGACTGCAGAAAGAAACATACGTCAAATTGCAGTGACACAAAAACATAGGACTATTTGTAATTGTGATGTAGCTAGTCGACTAATGATCAGAATCGTGTGACATTTTGACACAACACCGAAACGTATGTTTATAAGCTATTAATGCAATAAAAAAAAATTACAATTTTAACATATGACATTTTGCATTAACGGCAACGATATGTGGTTTGTGTCCATTATTTTGGCTGTCCTCCCAGTTTTCTGGTGTGACCTTAAATTATAGCAAAGTTAGTATATAAGAATTAAAAAAAAATTAATTTACCTGTTGTAAAGATTTTTTCCACACATTTAATACTGCGGCTTCATTCGTAACGCCAGCAGAAGTTATATTGGCATCATAATACCTTTTGCAGTCAGACCAAACATTCTCTATTGGATTGAATTGACAATGATATGGAGGCAGTCTTAAGACACGATGGCCATATTGAAGGGCCAGCCTATCCAATCTGTAAAACAAAATATATGAAAATGCCACTTACTAAATAAATTCTAATACATACTTAAATATTTTTTCTGGTAGATGCTTCTTCACAATATCCATAAACTCAAATTTCATCAACCATTCTAATAAAGAATGTTTTGCCCAACTAGCATTTGGTATTTTTTCCAATAAAGCTGAATGGTATGATGCATTATCCATAATAATTAATGACGGTTCTTCTAAATTTGGTAAAAGCTGATGCTCAAACCATTTTTCAATATTCTCAGAATTCTTTGAATCGTGGTAGTCACCAGATTTACTTCCACTTTTGAAAATCAATTCACAGTTATCTATGAACCCATTTTCAGAACCTGCATTAAGAATAATGTATCGTACACCTTCTCCATTCTTCTTTCTGACTGCATTAACAGTGCCATCTTGCCAGCTCTTGCGGAATCCTCCTTTGCTGAATATCCAGGTCTCATCCAAGAAAACAGGTTTTAAAGGGTATACATTGGTTTCATTGTCCTTATAGGCTTTTAAGAACTGAAGTCTTTTTAAAGTCACATGTGGTTGTTCCATTAAATATTTTCTGTTAGCAACACTACAATTTACCCATCTAAATTTTAATTCCTTTAAAACTCTGCTAAGTGCAACAATAGAAATATTAATCCCATCCACTTCCTCTAGTTTTTGCTTCAGGGTATGGAGAGTCACATGCTCACCTAAAACAATCAAAGTTTAAAGACACTATAGTGATTCTTCTAGGAAAAATATTAATAATGTAAAGTAACACATTAGTTTTGATATTAGGAATTTGTCTATTTAAATGCTATATGCAACAGTACTCCTTTCATAAATCGTAATAAACATATTTAAATATTCCAAAGTATAAGGGTTATAAAAATATATCTATATATTTTACCAAACTGCACAAGGTAAATGCATATACTGCAGCAAAAAGGCAAAGGGTACTCTTTATTTAAATACTTGGTATTTAATTCAGTAGTATTATTTTTATAATCACTTTTTATTTCTATATATTTTATATATGTAACTAGTTGTCAGTAACAAGTTATTAAAAGAAATGTCTATGGAAATTACTTACTTCTGCCTTTCTATCAGAAATATGGTAAAATATTTTAACTAAACAGTTGTAATGCTCTTACCTTTACTAAACATTCTGTATACACACATTCTGATGGCATGTTCGTATTTATTTATTAATAATGTCGGTTTACGACTTGTGGCTACTGATTCGCTCATTGTGATTGAATAATCAGAATCTTTTAGGACACCTTCATTTGCCAATCGTCTTATTGTTGGCAAAGAAATTCCTAGCGCCTCAGCAACACGCTGAAATAAACAGTAGGTAAAAATAAAACAATTTTATTTTCAGTGTAACTTTAAACTTTAAACGAACAGCAGAGAGTGGTAATAAGGTTTGTCCATCTTCTTTTTCTAATTCAAAATATTTAAGTACTTTAAGTATCAGAACTTGTTCCTTTTCCGTAAATCTTGGCATTTTAAAAATATTTTAATGAAAACCAAAACAAAATATAAATATAAACACAGATAATGCACAACAACGCTATGAAATGTCAAATACTGACCTGAACCGACAAGATCATTTCACTCTACGACACTTCTAAGGGATGGCCAAATGAATGAAGTTTTACATCCAATGTTCGTGACTTGCGTAACTGATTGGCTAGTGAAAGCGCGCATTTCAAATATCAACGAATCCAACGTAGGTTAGGAGTAGACCGGTTATGTATGCAACGCTGTAATATTTTCGTGTTTTAATCACGGAAGTGCCACTTTTTTCATCACATCCAACTTCATGCGTTAGAAAGAAATCGAAAAACTGTGACGCACTGAAAGAAGGCTCTGAAAAGGACAATAACATTATTTAAGATGAGGAACTGGCGTACCATTGGGTTTATTCATGTTCATTAATGTATTAAAAATAAGATATGAGTTCATGAAATTAGTAGACATTTGTAAATTGTAAGTAGACATCATCTGATTAAAAAATATCTGTTTAGTACCTTTTTAATTTAATATTTCTCATGAATACAAATAAATTAGTGAAATGAATAACTCAGTTATTTTTCTATGTAGGTTTCCAAATAATATAACTATTTGGGTAGCAAATTTAGGAGAAAACCAAGATTTTTTGTTGTAGCGTTATTTTGATACCTATTAAAAGATTAACTTGAATTCAACTATATTTTATTGTATTAATTTTAAAGCAAATAAAATTGTATTTTAATTTTTCTATAAATACGTGATTTATTAATAGTTAAACTCTCTATTTTTTAATTTTTCGAACGTGTTTTTATACATTATTACTACTTCCAATTTTTAAAGTCTGAATAATTATCCCCGCGAGTAAAAATTCAAGCACGCTTATGCCCATTGAGGAAGCATCACATTCTATCGAAGCTTCAAAACATTGTGTGTAAGTGTACACCTACATTGGAACCGTATTTATCCCGATCCGATATCGGGCGATGTCGGCCGCGACATCGGATTGAAAACAAACTCAAGGTATTAAATCACAGTGTCTATACTGCTTCCATGACGAAGCAGTATAGGCACTATCATTTAATACCTTGAGTTTGTTTTCAATCCGTCGTCACCCGATATCGGATCGGGAGATATACGGTTCCAATGTAGGTGTACACTTAAAGGTATCTTATTGCTGTGTCCATCTGTGTTTATACGTCCATGGATTAAACTGAAACTGGGCCAATGGTGTTTTCTCTGGGTGTCGTGTAAGGTATATTGCAGGTGCATTTAGAATTGAAAGGTCTAATATGTGAGAGAAGAGCTTTTTGTATCATTTGCCGGTTTTTCTGACGCTTTCTGTGAAACTTAGTAACATGTCGGTCCTGTCCACTGCTCCCATATTCATATTGTAATCTATTACACAAGCTGGTTTTTTAATGAATTCATTTGTCTTTCTGTCTTTTTTAACCAATTCTACAATTTCGTCTTGGTGCATTCGCATATCGCATCCGGAAAGAAGGAATTCCATACCGCTATATCTAAAAGATGTAATAACACTTTCTTATACCAACGGATGGATTTACGAGGACAACTATAATATGATATCATTTGATCGCTTTTATCAATCCCCGACATATGGTTATTATATACATCTATATCGCAGGGTTTTTTTCCGATACCATGCCTATTTTTAACAGTAATCATTCTTGGCTTGTACGCTGTAGTTATCATATCCACATCTCGTTTGTCTTGCCACTTGCTGACGTATAAGCTAACATTCTTCTTTTTTCGCCAGATATGTTCACCTTTTCCAAGTTTCTTCTTTACAACAACTGCAGGGTTGCCTACTCTATTAAGGCGCATCCACATTATGCCATACCTTGCCGATCGGCAAAACCGATTGGTGTCGCTGGTGTCCACACAATATTTGTAGTGTGTACGTAGCAGTTGTACAGTGTTGCGTGTCAATAATGAGTTCAGAAGAGGATGATATGATTCTTGCGGCTGCATCTGTTGTAATAATTGCCTCACTTCATATAAACGTCCCAAGAGCTTTTGGGTTCGCCCAAGCCTCAGAAGTCGTAATAGGTACAGTGCCACGGATCTTATGAAAGATTTGATTTCTGACGACGCAGATGAATTAAATTTGGAATATAGATGTGACGCAGGATTCAGAAATTTTTTTCGAATGACCAAAACAGATTACCAAACATTGTTAGATTTGATTGGACCTGTTATTTCAAAAAAAGATACGTCATTTAGAGCAGCAATTCCTGCCTCTGAACGACTTGCAGTTACGCTACGTTTTTTTGCCAGTGGAGATTCCTACCATTCTCTCATGTATACCTTCAAAATATCTAAGCAAACTATTTCAAAATGTGTTGCAGAGGTATGCAAAGCGCTCATAGATGCTCTTCAAGATTACGTAAAGGTAAGAAAAAATAACTATTCATCGTAGTTTGTTATATATTTAAAAATATAAGAAATTACTGCAATAAGAGAGTGTGAATGTCCTCATCTTGATTAATAGTAGAAGTTGATGTCGAACTCCGACCACTTAATGTATTGGGGTAATGTCCTGGAGATGGTATTGAATTATGGGCAACATTGAATGATTGCAGTGGATATGCTTGTGGAGTAGATGGATGAGAATGATTTATGAAATGAGGATTATCGTATTTGCCCATTTCTGCTTCAAATAGAACAGTATTAATTATATTCTGAACGGAAAATCTAGCAAATGCCGACACAATTTTTCGAAGCTTCATTGCAACTTGTTCACCAAACAATGAAAATTCATCCTTTTCAGCCCTTTTAGTACTAATAGACCGCATAAGATTCACTGCCTCGTTTACAATTGGTAAATTAGTAGCCATACTTTTTCGACCACTGGACTTCACAATGTTAATTGAGTTTGATTTAGATTGAGATTGAGCTGTTGTTCCAACCTCATTTTCGGAACCATCAATGCTCTGTTGCAATACTTGTAGCGACTCTTCTCCATCGTCTGTTTCTACTTCTTGTGAATCTTCTTCCTTTCGTTTTCGTTTACCCTGAAACAAAATATTAATTTCTAAATTAATCCACTTTTTTGCTTTGCAATTTGTTGATGCTTTATAGCCAAAGCAGTTCAACGACAAATGGAATTTTCCAAATTGTGTCGGAGCTATGGACGGCAAACATATATCAATACAAGCTCCTATAAATTCAGGAACCGATTTTTTCAACTACAAGAGCTTCTTTAGCATTGTCTTGTTCGCTGTTGTAGACGCAAATTATAATTTTATATATGCAAACGTGGGATGTCAGGGACGAATATCGGACGGGGGCGTATTCAACGATTCATATTTCAAAGAGTGCCTTGAAGAAAATACCCTAAACCTTCCACCTGCTTGTTCATTACTAGGACGAAGCACTGATGTTTTATTTGTTTTTGTGGCGAATGACGCATTCCCACTATCAACAAACATAATGAAGCCATTCGCAGGACATCAGCAAAAAGGTTCAAAAAATAGAATATTCAACTATCGATTGAGCCGCGCAAGAAGAGTGTCAGAAAATGCTTTTGGCATTTTAAGTGCTATTTTCCGAGTGCTTCGTAGGCCCATGTTGTTGGAACCAGAAACTGCAACGAACGTAGTTTTGGCCTTAACCCTGTAACTGGCAAGATTCTAAAAATTATTCTATTTACTTGGGAATTTTTTTCAAGTTTAATAATGTATTAAGAAACCTAGAAAAGCTATTAAAATGTAATTATCATTTTTTGTTTGGCTTCCAGGTAAAAACAATAAAAAGGGGTCCTCAGGGGGTCCTTGCCGGTTTAAGTTAAAAATAGCGTTTTATTCATTTGAATGGATTTTATTAAAATAAACTTAAAAACAAACGGAAAAGAAAGAGTGTACACTATTTTTTATGGTGATAATTATAAAAACAGTTTTTGGCATTTGAACAACATAAGTGAAGATCACATTTGCTACACATACATTGAGTTTTTGACACTTTGCAAAGTTTACATTTTTTTTACCACTCTCTTTGTTGAGCCAATGTCATCAATGGGATGTTTTGCTTTTTTTCCAATGCCAGAAGTAGTTGGTTGCGGTGAGCTCGATTGTGATTTTGATGTTGAAGGTCGGCCAAGTACACGTTTTTCACTGAATACAACGAGAGCAGCAGCAATTTGTTCTCTGAATTCTGGTAGCTGCAACAACTTTTCATGTTCCGCTAAGATATTGCTCGAATCATTACATTTTCAGCGTGTATGTGACGGTACAAAATATAAGCGTTTGTTGCAGCCATATCGATCAAGTGGTAGAAAATTCGAACCATTGCACTACGTGTCTTCGCTCTAATATGGTAGCGACCCATCAATCCATCCATCAGATCGACTCCTCCCATATCTCTGTTGTATTCGCGAATGATCTGCGGACAGTTGACTTCGATGTATTTCTTTTTCTTTCGATCATATGGTGGTACTTTTGCAATATATTGATTTGGATTTGCTCTCAAAAACGGCTCAATTCCAACGTAAGTCGATGCCAGCCGCACGTTCTTCGTATCTTTCCATAAAATTGTACTGAAATCAACACCGTACGCAGATCCAACATATTCAACAGAATATCCTCTTTCTTCATCTTTGATATCCTTATCCAACGGAAGCTTACAGTTTGGGATTCTGTTTGTCCGTATTGTACCAAGGCTATAGATTCCTCTTGCACGTAAATAAACTAACAAAAGTAAAGACGTATAGAAATTGTCGAAGTAAAGGATGTGATGAGAAAAGCTAGGTATGGTCTGTGACAAACGTACAACAACGGTTGATGTACTTCCAAGATCAGGTGCGCCAGGAAGAATTATATTGTCTCGTGCACCGTTGTAAATTTCAAAACGATATGCGTAACCGTGAGAATCACAAAGCACAAACAGTTTGATGCCCCATTTGTGCGGCTTATTTGGCATATATTGACGGAGGTGATGCTTGAGTTTGGTCGAACACATCTGCTCATCAACACACAATCTAGCCGTCTTTGGAATCGAATCAAAACGATTGTTGACCTTATCAGCCAATTTCCGGATGCGAAATAGTGGATCATAGCCTGGCTGACCTTTTCGAATGCGCTGCCTTTCATCTTGAAACGATAAGTGTTTCTTTATTGCCATAAACTTTTTTACAGGCATTGTCTTCTGGATGGGGGCGAACGCGTTTTTGCTCCAGTAGCTCTCTAGATTAGGGTATCGATAAATCGACATGTATATCAACACTCCGATAAATTTCCGAATCTCCTCACCACTCGCGGCGAATTTTGTATTGATATTTTCTTGACGAGCTGCATCGTTCGTTTCATTGGCCACCAAATCAATAATCTCTTTTGTGAAGAAATAATTGAAGGGTTCTATTGGTGTTTCCAGTTCTTCTATTGACGATGGCAACCGTACATATCCTTGGAAAGCTACTTCGTTTACATGCAAGCTCATTGATCGCCACGTTACTTTGGTAAATTGTTCCGAATCTTTTTTGATATCCTGAATAGCTGAAATGAGAATAAAAATAGTACACTATTGCTAAAGTATGAATATATAACTATTACCTCTCCCAGTAAAACCACCAATAGAAGGCGTGATCAAAGGTCCAGAATCTTCCATTATAGGTAATGGCGAACGGGGTCGTTTCTTTGGCTTAGAACTTGCAGCATGTGCGACATCGGCGACTGAAGTAGATGGAATTGCTTTTATACATCTAGACGGCCCAGCCTCTTCCTTTTTTAAAGATTCGACACATTCGTCAGCTTCGATTTGCACCGCCGTTAGCATTGTTGATGATGCAGCAGGTGTTTGTATGTCACTGATATTTAGCGACATGTTCACATTTTGAATAAAATAGTCGCTTGTTTCACCTGCTTGCATTTCACGGATACACTCTGTTATCATGTCATCTGGAGCGATCTCATCCTGCTCGTAATCTGGGTCGATGTCTGGATCATCACTGCTATAATCACCTGACGAATCCGTTTCAACAGAGTCCATACGTTCTTGGATTTCATCTTCGGTCATTACCGACAAATTAAACTTTTTCTGTCTCCAGCTGTTATTGCCTGCCATTTCCAGAAGCAAAATAAACAAATAACTGATGAAAGTTGGTAAACAATAGCACAACTACACAACACAACAATCACAACAAAGTGAGACGAAACTTCACATAAACCGGCAAGGGGTCCCTCAGGAACCCTTTTTATTTTCGCTTCTAAAGCACACTCAGAATACTTGTTTTGTAATAATTACAATATATAGTGAAACTTGAAGCTCTAAACCACTCATAAAAAAATGTTTTCACTAAATTTAGATTATTTGTAATATCATAATTTTACGTCGAAAAAATTTTTAAATGAGAGATAATTGTTCTGTGTTCACCTCGACCTGTCGCAGAAAACTGAGACAAAAATGTAACGATAAGGTTTAATGAATTTAGAATGCATTAGAAACGTCTCTAGACGAACTAGTGGGGGAAATTCAAAACAGTTTGCGGCTACCTGACTTTTACCTGCGGCTTAAATAAACAATAAGCGAAGGGGCCGTCAGGGACCTCTTACCAGTTAGAGGGTTAATTCACCTACACAATTTCTTGCGAAAAAACACTTCAAGAAATCTTTACACTCCACCTGGAATGATTGATGTAGAATGTTCGGATACTGGAGCAATTAATCCTGGGCTTTCGAAACGAAATGCTTCCTCTAATGAATTGCTCAGTTTTGGCAGAAGGGCAAGAAGGTGTGGAGCTGCGGCACAAAATGTGAGAAACAAATTGGCCGAATTCTTCATTTCTCAAGAAGGAGCATTGCCTTTTCAATATGATAAATGAAATACGATATACCAATATGATTTTGTTCTGAAGCTATTTTCTTGTGGCATTGTAAATTAATTACTTTTAAACTGGGAATAAACCACAATTAAAGATAAAAACACGTTTATTGTCGTTTCAATTTCCACTTCGGAAATCGTTCTCAAAATACAAACTATTTGTATTTTGAGAACGATTTCCGAAGTGGAAATTGAAACGTCAATAAACGTATTTTTATCTTTAATTGTGGTTTATTCCCAGTTTAAAAGTAATTAACCAATATGATTATATCAATATTTTCAAATTTATGTATAAATATGAACTCAATTATTAAGAATGAATAAAGTATCTACTACAGTGTAAATTAGATATACATACCTCTGAATCTTGCGTTACAATAGGTTTATTCTTATCCTTCAGAAATTCCGTTAACTTATACGCAAACCATTTACTTTTGTAAGTTTCTTCGGTTCCATTACCACTTTGTGATGTCTTCTCGTAGGAGTCACTATCCGGGTAGCTTTTAGACAGTCAGAGACAGAGTTCAAAACAAAAATAAAACTTTATTGTCTTCCTTAAATTAAATTGACAAAAATCTTATGTACATATTTACAATTTGGTTTAGTCTTCTCAGTACCTGGCCTATTTATTCAAATTAAGTTTGACCTTGTCATATGAAATTAGTTTTATCGGCAAGCAAATGTATATTTGAAATTTTACGGGAACGTTGTATCGATTTAATAACAGCGGACGATAGGTACAAAGAAAGGAAAGGAACTCAACACGTCCCTTAAGTGATTCGGGTTAACGGGACACTCCTCGACAGTCTCAACACGACTGCTTCAGAGTATGGGTAGTGAAGAGCTCAACACGCTCTTCGGGTAACGGCGGTATGGGACGGAACAACTTGTGAACTCAACACGTCCACAAGCCGGGGTAGGGAAGAAGAGAACCTTCAGTCAACACCTGTCGATTCTCCCTCTAGGAGGAAATGTTGCGGTTTATATAGCGGAGCTTGTATTAGTTTTGCCCTTTCTACTGTCGATATACTCCTACTTCATGGGTTGGTTCGCCCCTTAGACCATAAAAACTGATAGACACGCCTTGTACCGAACCGTTGAAGCAAAGACCTTCCGCGAAAGTGACGTCACAATGAGGCAAGAGCCCGCTTGGATTCTTAGCAAAGCACTAGTATAATTACCCAATTTTAGATTAATTTTAATATAACTTCAATGTTTTGTAAAAAATATGGAAGATAAATTATTTAGCAAAGTAATTAATAAATATTTTTGCCTTAAATTGTAAAAATAAATGTTTTATTTGAAAGTACATATCTACATATATTATTATATATATCGTTGGTATATCACTTCTTGTTTGATATTCAGAAATAAATTTAAAGGAGAATAATTTTCTTTTGGGTGGAAGTTTCAGGATAGGTAAAAAATATGTAGGAAATCTATTAATTTATTTACCACAAAACAAAATAGCTTTTGTTACCTTGCTTCTAACTCTTATTACTTTTTCAACTTCGTGGTACAATCTAATGTTCCAATAATGGAAACAAATTATCTTTATTAGATTAAACAAATGGTTGGTTTCAAATTCATGGTCAAACATATGTTCTTTGTATGCGTTAAACACAGAACCATGCACGTTACTCATGACATTTAAGATCAATTTTGTCATTATTTTGGAATCGTTTAATTTTTTTGAATTGTACATAAATTTAATTTCGCTTTCAGCAATTTTGCAAATATGAATGACGTCTTTAGAAGGTTGAATTAAAAAATCTTTTGACATGCTATAGTTTTTGTGTCTTATGAATGGAGATTGTAAATTATCACATTCAATTGCACACAAACATAAATGTCACAATCTAATGATTTCTTAACTTTCTTAACGCCAAACCTAGCGATATAGTCAACAACATCACAAACATAAGATGACAATGTTCTTGAAAAACTTAAAATATTTACAGTATAATCCTGATCCTGGTTACTAGTTATTGTTTCCCTATTATTTTCATCAGTTATAAAGTTGTCAATGAGTTGATGATCAACAGTTTTCATTTTCACAGTATTTGTTGTGCTCATTGCTAATATTATGGAAGGTGCCTGTTCTATACAATTAGCCTGGGTAGATCCTGTAACACTTGTGTGCATTAATAGTCTTTTATATGTAGCTTTAAATTGTTTTGCTGCTAGGTTGTTGTTGTAACCTCCATGACTCCTAATAGAACTAAAGAAAACTTCTAAGTGATCTTGAGAAAGGTTATAGGCCGAAAGATACTTCAGACCTCCATCCATATCCTCCACGTAATTTTTCCAAATTCCCATTAGTGATTTTAAACTATTGATCATACCAATAAAACCCGTCTTTCTTTGGCTTAGATATAGGGGTTCACCATTTTTGGAACACTTAAGTGAACTAAAATATTTTATAGATTCTTCAATTTTTTGAAATTTATTTATTTAGCGTATGGCTACATCACAGGTTCATATAAATATAAATATATAAATGATATAAATTACAAACAACAGTAAATATAAAAAAATATTATTCTACAAACAAACATCTAGATTATAAATATACTCGATTGACTCTTTTGTAGCAGCCAGGAAATCTGAAGGGTTGCCATTATAGGATCTAATCGGGCATTCCTCTACCATGTGTTTTACTGTTTGCCTTTCGGCGCCGCAGTCGCAATTTGGTGATTGTATTTTTCCCCATCTAAAAAGTGAGTCGAAACATCTGCCATAGTTCGTCCTTATTCTATTGAGTGTGGTCCAAATTCGTCTCGGTTGGTTGAAGCCCTCAGGTTTGCTTGTAATACATGGCATGTTCCAGTTAGCTGGTGCAGCGTTATTCTCCCATTGTTCTCTCCACCGTTCAGTTACATTAAAGTTTTGATCTACTAGCCTTTTTGCTGTTTTTAGAGGCGGGTGTCTTGAACGGAGCCTATTTATGTCTCTGGCGGAAGTTCCGACATGGGAGCGGAGCTCAGGATCAGTATTGATTTTTGTAAATTCTCTGACAAGGGCATGTTCCCGGCGGATGGATGGTGGAGCTATATGACTCAACGCTGGTAACCAGTAAGTGGGCGTGGCCTTGATTGTGCCCGATATAGTTCGCATGGCTTGGTTGAGTTGGACATCAACACGGTGAGTATGTGGACTGTTTATCCATACTGGTGCACAGTATTCCGCTACGGGGTATACCAGTCCTAATGCTGTCGATCTAAGTGTGGGTGCTGAGGAGCCCCATGTAGTGCCGCAGAGCCTTTGCAGGATGTTGTTACGAGTTCGGAGTTTTGCAGCAGTCTTAGTAAGATGCTCTTTAAAGTTCAGCGTTCTGTCAAGTGTAACACCTAAGTATTTTGGGTGTTTATTATATTTAAGGAGTCTATCCCCAAAATTGATTTGAGGTTGATAGTTGGCTATCTTGTTATATAAATGGAAGCAGGACACTTCTGTCTTAGTTGGATTGGGTTGCAATCTCCATTTTCGGAAATAATTCCCTAGGGCATTTAAATCGTTTGTTAGAATGCGTTCAGTGACCTCGAATTCTTTATGACTTGCGGCAAGCGTCCAGTCGTCTGCGTATCCAAACTTTTTTGATGTGGTTTCTGGCATGTCTGCTATATAGAGGCTGAAAAGCAAGGGGGCCAGCACGGATCCTTGTGGAAGTCCAATATTCAGTTTTCTTTGGGTACTAGTCTTGTCTCCCAATATAACTTTAAAGCATCTGTTGGATAGCATGGCGTTAATAACCTCAGTGGTCTTTCTGCATGGGATTATTCGCATTAATTTATATATTGCCCCTTGTCGCCACACAGTGTCATAAGCAGCAGATAGATCAATGAAGACAGCGGTTGTTTTTGATTGCTTTTGAAAGTTTGATTCCACATGATTGGTCCGGGCGAGTACCTGGTCTGTGCAGCTGCGGTTTGGCCGAAATCCTGCCTGTTTCACTGGTAAGTGTTGGAATATGGTTTTGCTGATTCTACTATACAACAGTCTTTCGAACAATTTGTACACCATACTTAAGAGTGCGATGGGGCGGTAGTTTTTCGGTGAATTATTACTTTTCTCTAGTTTTAAAATGGCGACGATTTTTGCATTTTTGAGTTGGTGGGGGACGTTTCCCGTTTGAAGGATGTCAGAAAAGAATTCTGCGAGCCATTGCCTAGTGAATCTGCCGCTATGTTTGAGAAACTCAGCGTGAATAGCGTCGAAACCCGGCGCTTTTCCTGTTTTCATTTCATTTAGGGCTTGCGATATTTCTTCATGCGTAAATGGGTTGGAATATTCTGTTG